ACTTTTTTTTTCTTATAAGAAGGTAGATAACGAACGACAACGTGAAAGTCTATTATTTATTCAGTGTGTATCGTTTCAGTTATATTACACAGGGTAATGCAGGGTCATAATACAGACGATTTTCAAATCCTGCAGATACACCATGTATATCACCTATATATCATCATACATCTTTGGTCGCAGGATTGGAGGGACGTAAGTACTATGACTTAAGACTTAAAATATACGTTGGTCAAAATATTTTTTTTTTTTAAAAAAAAAAAAACAACGGACATACTTCTCACTTGGGCACAGCCAATTTTGTAGGTGGAAAGTTGGGAAGATAGGATACAGATGGGAATTTAATGTACATCTGTAAGCAACGATAAACCATTGCTAACGAAAAAACGATTATGAGTGGATTTCAATTGATAGCGTTGCTTTGTAAACAATATATGTGCCATATTATGGTAAAATGATAACAACAATGTGCATTTCCAAGGCAATAATGATTTTTTAAAAAAGATTTAAAATAATAAGAACTTAACAAAAGATATCACAAAAGATAAATAAAAACGGTTAGGTTAGGAGAATTTCAAAAAATAACATCTCTCAAGTACCACCTAAAGAACATTTCCTTTCAGAAAAGATGCTATACTTGATAATCGGAGTATGCTTTTTGGTAGAAAAAGTGTTCACATGAAAAAAAATAACAATAAATAAACATCTTAGTAATATCAATAAATTACTCTCTTCACCCAGAATCTAAAATAAAAAAACTAATATATTTTCTTTATTTTGTATTACTTATTTAAACAATTATACAACTAATAATATTCTCCAATATTGTGGATTAAAAAAAAAAAGTTGTATTCCCCCCCTCTTTTTCTCTCCGTAAATATTTGGTTTAAAAAATGTCGCGATTATGGCCGCTGCACCTCGGCAAAAGTACTACTGCTGAGAGCAATACAAGTACATCATATTATTATATAAAACGACATAAAATTCACAGGATTTAACATCGTCGTCGTTATATTATTTTGTATACATATTTTATGTCGACCGACAACAGTAAATATATGTACCTACCGTATAAATGTACAAACATCGTAATAAAATATTCATCGAGTATAGGAAACATAATAATATTATATCGATGTGCTTAAAATGAAGACAGCGATAATAATATTATCACTGTAAGATATTATCTTTTTCCGTTTTCTATATATTCTTCTATATATATATCTATATCTGTTTTTGTCTTTTAACTCATCTTGATAAATGAGAAATAAGTAATCTGAGTCGTTATCTAAGATGAATGATTGAATCATCTAGATACGATTATCAGTTATTATTATCATCATTTAAATAAATTTCTATAACAATTATCTCTTATCTATCTTAATTGTATCTTTATACAACACAGTCACTTAGTTACTTACTCAATAGTGAGCACATACACAGGGGTGGGGGAGATATAGGGGTTTTTTTTCTCGTATATATCGTACAAAATAAATATATAATCACAAAACTCTTGTATAATGGTGTTATATAATATATAGTGCTTATATTTTAATGATTGTAATTTTGATTTTGATTGGAAACAAATAGGTAAATAAGAATAAGTACCATCATATTTCAGAGATGTAAAATACAGACATATGTTATTTGGGGGAGAAGATTGGTATGACTTTCCTTTCCCCCAAGGAAAGCCTCTTTCTCTTGGGAGGAACCATTTTTGGCCAAAATGAACCTTTCCTTTTTCGGCCAGTGTTATATTTCGGCTGTTCTATAATAACCATTTTTGGTAAATAATAAAAGTGTAATATATATGATATAATAATATGTATAATATCATATGATATACAATTTATACATACAGTTAATAATGTTTTTTGTTTATATATATTTATGTATATATATATATATATATATTTATGTATATATATATATATATATATATATATATATATACACATATAAATATGTTTATGATGTTTACAATTAAAAAAAATACGTGAAATAAATTCAAAATAAAATAGAAATTATTGAATCTGAATGGGATATGTCAATTTTTTTTTAATAATCAATTAATTCTTAATTTACGAGTATGCATAAAACAGAATGTTTATGAGTACATTTTTTACTAATAGGAATATTAAAATATTTTTAATATTTATGATAATTGAGGCACATTCGTTTAATAAATTCCAAACACAACTCTTTGTTTTTGTTCTCACGGTTCCAATGTGTTAAATCTTTTGAACATTTTGAGATATCAGACCTTCAAAATTTTATGTGCGTTTCTATTTAAACTTCATTTACAACACTTAACCAATACATTATTGGAGATGAGTCTTTATAAAATCTTTAATTAAAATGTTAACAGAAACAGTTGCATTCAAATTTGTTGATCTTTTTTTTAATGCTAATTTTATCCAAATGTCTATTTCTGAAGAATTGTTTTATATTCATTGATCAATCCTAAACTTCAAACTTGAAAAAAACCTAGATTAAGTTAGATAAATCTACAGCCAATCATTTTTTTAATATAGTTATATATCTACTATAGCTTTATGTATTGACATCTTAGTAATGATAATAAAATATTTTAGAAAGATGATAACATTTTCAAACCGAAAAACATTTAAATCTATAATAGTAAATTATTGATATAACCATACATTGGTAACCAAAACAGTGTAATGGCCGAAAACGGTTATAACGGAATGACCAAAAAAAGTAAAATTGGTCGAAAAGGGAAAGGTTCATTTAGGGCCAAAAAGGGTCCGACCTTTGTTCTTCCCTTTTTGTTGCCAACTGGAAATATCGTCTAACGAAAGTATTCAGAATGTCATAATTTATATAATATTCTTTTACTTAGCGGCGAAAGTCAAACAACAAATATTTTTGGTTATATAAACAAAGCGATGAGATTCGATTTGGTTCGATTATGTTTAAATTAAAGATAAATTTATTTTTTTTTTTTTTTTTGTCCAATGTATTATATTATACTCTTCTTGTACCTAAGTAAGTTTTAAAAACGGAGTATTAACTTTACAGCTTAACAAATATATAAGTATTGTGATAGAATTATAATATTATATTTTGTTCTGATCTTAATAATAATTTCAAAAGCTGGTTTTTTTCTTGTCTTATTTCGATTGATAGAATTGACAGAATAAAATAATAATAATAATTTATTATAAGGTACTTTTAACGATAATGCCTATTTCAAAAAACTTCGAATTTCAACCGAATTCGAATTAAAGTGAACTCATAAATATAATATAATACGAAGGTATATAAATAACAAGATATTAAATAAAGTGCAAACTGATTATTATTACACAAAATGGAATTATATAACTATATTATTATAGAAGTCTATATTATTTTGAACATATTTAAAACAATACACCCTTACGTATAGAAAGCGTATACGTTTCAAAATATTACAAGTACGTTTTAAAACAAATAATATAATATTGTTTACGCAGAATTGTGGTGCAGCGGCATAGTAATTGTTATATTACTAATTGGAAAATGTTTTCTTGGAAATGTATAATTTAAAATTAAAATTTCTATCTAACAGGCATTGCGTATACAATGGTCAGAAAATAAAACGTCACCTACCTACTTTTGGCTTCTAAGTGGAGCGAAGATGCTTATGGCTTACAATGATATTTATTTTATTATTTTTTGTTTGTTTTTTTTTTGATAATTTTTCCATCGGAAATTCTGGAATGATAGTACCTTTCCTGAAAGTAAATTGGACTGCGGAGGTACTTTAGGAAGGTTATTTTTTGATTTTCCCAGGAATTTTCTCAATAAATTGGAAAAATTGGAAAAAAACTGACAAATTTACGAAATGTAGGTATTAGTAAAAAGTATTACGGCTTCCCCCCCCCCGTGAACAATTTTTCTACCAACAATTTTTCTCCGATTTACAACAATTTTATCCTCCAGGAGTATCAAAACAATCCCTAAAAAAAAAAGATCAAATATATCTATAAATAATGTCTAAAAATGAAACATGAACTTACGCATCGTATAAATAACAATAAAAAAATAAATTATTATCCAGGTGATTAATTTTTTAACCTATTCAATCTCATTTAGGTAATATCTAAATAAATGATTAACGCTTGATTTTGTGTCTGCACTTATGTGTGAGAGGAACCAACGAATATATATTGGAGTCTTTTTATATTTTAAATTTTAAGTGACTAATATAATAAAAACAGAAAAAAAACGATGATTATTTTATGACCCAAAATGAACTTCATGAATGTATTGTTTTTTTATTTAATTTCTTTCTTTTTTTTAAAAAAAAAAAAAAAAAAACAAAAATATAATTCTGTTTATTACAGCTGCAGAAGCTTATAAATGAAAACAAAAAAGTTTCATTGTATATACGATTTTAAATTGTATACAGTGAATAATTTAAAAATCAAACGACACTTATTCATTTTTTTTATTCCAACTACAGTTTATTAAAAATGCAACGGTTTATATCGTTAGTGCAGTTTCAAATTTAAAATAATAATATTAAGTAGGTACGCTAAAAATAATGGCACGTGCTGAACGAAAAAATAAGACACGGTGTCGACACTACGATGCTGCTGATGTTTTAACTATAGTCCAATATTATCTCCACATTATCCATATATTGTTTTAGATTCAGACCGGATCGAATTGAACTTGTATAACTTTTTACAACGGGAACCTTTTTTGTTTTTATTTTTGTGTTATTGACATGGGTACCTATATAGTAAATATGCGAGTAATTTTAACGTATACTTGTATAAGTGAATACAGAACGCCACCAAACAAAAATGTCACTTAGAATATTTCATATTTTTTTCTCTTTCAAAAGCTCCCAGATTTGAGAAGCCCACCCACGAAACTATAATAGGTAATATACGCAGTGAGAAAATTTAAAAAACGACAAGAAAAAAATAAAAGGTGATTAAACACTGTGATTCGTAGTTTTAATTCCAAATTCCACTACACACTTAATAAAGTTTTTTCGAATATCGAATCGATTAACATAATATAATAATTTTACAATAATTCACAACTATACAGCTCTCTCACTATAAGCGTACCATTATACAGTGTGAACAAAAAAAAAAAAAATTGAATACTGACTCTTGGTGGATGCACAGTGTGTTCATTTTGTTTAAAATTTCGCGTCTAACAAAGTACGCATAGGTACGCTGCAGCAATACAACGCGGAAACAGCTGAGTAAGCACAAAAGCTAACGGATCCTTTACAAAAAGGACTCTCGAGAATTAAATTACTCGTACTCTTTTTTTTTTCACTCGGTGTTTGAAGTCCATTTATATATATAGAAGTTGCTAAAAGCCTTGCGAGTTACTTAAACTCACGACACTCGTGTTACACGAGTATAATTTTTGAATTTTTACAGATTTTAGTTTTACTGTTCGTATAGAAATGTTTTATTTTAATTGAATACAAAATATCAACCATATATGTATAATTGAATCATTTCTAATTTAGTGATTCAAAGCGAAAAACTACATTTCTGGTGTTAACAACTTTAAGTATTTGTATAGAAAAAAAAAACGGACATTTGGGTAAGCCACTGTTATAGGTGAGAAGTTTGAAAGATAGAGAGAATATTTAATGAATATATGTATGTAACGATTAACCATTACTAACGAAAAACGATTCTGAGCGGAGTTCGGTTAAAAGTGTTGCTTTGTAAACAATATATGTCATATTGTGGTAAAATAATTATACATATGCATTCACATATTTCCTTTAAGAATATTTGTTTTATATTGCATCTACTTTCTCGTTTTTCCTACGTTTTTCTCATTTATTGGGAAAATTCCTGGAAAATCAAAAGATTACAATCCTATTGTACCACTCCAGTCAGATTTCCTTTCAAAAAAAGTAATATTATTGTAAATCGAAACAATAGCTTTGGTAGAAAATTTGTCCATAGAAAAAAAAAATAAACATTATTGTAAATCCAATACATTTCTCGCTCCACTAAGAATCTAAAAACCCTGACAAACTAAATTGTATCGAATTTTTAAAAACTCTTGCGGATCTAAATAATATCAATTTGTCAACCTAAATCGTCCAATATTATGGGAAATGATATTGATTTTTTACCATTTTCGGCATTATTTGAACTTCAAACACGCTTATGAAAAATAAATCGGGATACAAAAGACTAATAATCAATCTTGTATTAAATTATTGTGTATTTTTATGAAACTGAAACAACTTTATCCCCGTGTAACCTCCGAAAAAAGAATATAAACTCGAATATTTAGAATAGCTGGGTAATAAATAACTCAAAAACATTTCGAAAACTGCACCACGTCTTAAAGATGCTAACATAAGTACTTGCTGCAAATTCCCGGTTTCTTCGTTTGTTATTCGTCGAATTATAAATAAATAAAAAAAAAAACGGATATATATCGCAGGATGGATGGGCCACTGTTGCAGGTGAGAAGTTGAGAAGGTATAGGATATAGAGCGCAATTTAATATATTTTTGTATGCAACAATTAATCATTGCTAACAAAAAACAATTCTGAGCGGAGCTCGATTATACATGTTTTGAAAAGTTGTAATATTTACGATTTCGATAAAATTCGGTATTAAAATTCTTATAAAAAAAAAATACTACATTAATAAACTCAATTTCTTTTTTTTTTACCATAAAGTACGACTTATAATGAACCTCCTATTAAGTTGTCAACAATTTCTGATTGGTCTAACAATTTTATCCACAAAGAACCTACCAAATACAAATTGCGTGAAAAATTCCCAAAAATTTTAATATCTATAAATAGCTCAAAAATTAACAAAAACCGTTATTACATTAATACGCGAGAGGGAGAGCGTTTTCAAAAAAAATTTTCCTATTTCTCTTCGTTATTTCATATTCAAAGTACAAGCAAAATAAAAAAAAACACTTCTTTAACATAACACTTACTATAATAGACATAATTTTCCCCGAAATCGATTTAAAATATGTTCAATTATTTTGGTAGGTCGAAAACTTATTCACTCACAGATTAACAAAAACACATATTATACAGTAAAACTAGCTGTTACTGTTAGTAATCGTTATTTATACAAGTAATGCATTACATTGCATGCATTACAAGTACATTGTTACCTAAAGATATATGAGAGTAGAACAGTTACAGTAATTAAGTTTATTCTTAACATAATATAATAAGGAATTATCTGAGATAAAGGTGAGGCCTTAATTAGCGAATAATGATCTAAATTGCTAAGGATAAAATTATTATCAAGAAATCTAAAGATTCAGTTATATCGCACGACTATTCGGCCGGTGGTAATGTACGGATGTGATACGTGGATAGTATGCAAGTCTGAAAAAAAATATGCTTCCAAAAGAAAAATACAAAAAAGAATCTTCAGGCCCTATCAGGATGTAAATACAGGAGAATGGAAAATCTGAAAATCACTGAACTCAGACAGTTTCCAGATAATCGAGGAAGTCGAGAAAAGGCTAGGTACTACAGTTGGTTGGCTATGCATGGAGGAAAGACGGAGCTTTGATACATCAGGTATAGAATAGTATATAAAAAGGAATATCGATAGCGTGAGAGGGGGGAGATCAAATAAAAATCTATATAGAAAGGTTGAAACCAGGAACCGATTGGCATGATTCTGCGATGGGCAGAATGAAGTGGTAGGAAATTTGTTAGATAATTTGATCTGAATCATCGGTATTATAAATCAGAAAGAGAAGAAAAAGATACATTATTTGTTTTGCTCAGAATATTAAAAAAAATCCAGTGAAAACTGAGTAGCGAGTAGAAAAAACCCAAACAAAAAAACATCCAAGTTCGAGAGAAGAGAAAATTGAAACTATTGTTTTTCTTACGGAAAACTTTGTCATCGTAATAATAATAATAAACCGTTTTTATATATTGCAGCAACAGTATACCGCAGCAACACGCCACGACTATTTAAGTTTTTCAAGTGACCTTAGCTATTGCTGTTATACGCGCACGGTGGTGAATCGTCGTTATATTTAATGCGAGTCTTTTGTGTAAACAGACAAGGAAGAAAACAAACACGGTGATTTCTCAATTTTTTGGATCGCGTAAAAAATAAATAGATATATTTATGTTTTTTTTTTTTTTCGAATGTACAAGAGACATTTCCGGAGCGGCGATATTGGAGAGCGAACCCCGGCTGGAAACCCCCGACTATATACGTGTATTATTATATATACTTACACTACACACCGGAAAAATGTTTTATCTCTCAGTTGACATCTTTTATTCATATACGATTATTTCAAATGTGCGCTGCTGTCAGTGGATCTTTTTTTTCCCGAGACCCTCCTTAAATATATGATATATATACATTATATGTGTGTTTCTTTTATTTTTCAAAAACCTTTAACCACACGTATGTATAACTGGTAAGGCAAGACAAACGCGAGAAAGCGACGACGCAATCAAATTAGCACGGCACCGTGTTTTAATATTATAGGTATTGTTATAATACTACATATAAACTCAATTCTTATTTCTATAAAATAGAATACATGTGCGCCACTGTTTTAGGTCCAAATTCGGGAAATAAGGATATATAGAATAATTTAATTAATATCTGTATGCAACGATATATCGTCGCTAATAAAATACAATTCTGAGTAGAATTCGATTACATTTTTTTTTTTTAAATGCCACGATTTTGACGATTTTCGTCAAAATTTAAACTTAAAACACTTTAAAAAGAAAACCTTATACATTACGCTTATAATATAACTTATATAACTTATAATAATCAATCTCGTATTAAATTTATAATATGTCTGTTCCGCCAAAAAAGTTTTATCATCCACATGAAATCAAATAATAACTAAATTAACTAGAAAATGTCAAATGCCTACGTCTCAGAAATTGTCACAATATTTCCAAAACTATTATCACGTCCAGAAAATACTAGTATAATAAATATTTATCGAAAAAGTCGCGTCTACGATTATTTCTAACTGAAATACAATAAAAAATAAAATAATAAAAAATAAAAAATGAAACTGTTAATGCCGTGAACTACGTTTTTCTAACAATTTTGTTATGGTCTTTTAAATGCACCAACTAGACAAAACTATTCAAAAAAAAAAAAAGCTATAATTGAAATCTTCTGGTAGAAAAGTTCCTCGCAGACACAATAAAAAAAAAGAAAAAGATATCTCAATAAAACCATTCCAAATAATACATTCCTCGCTGTTCTCAGAATCTAAAATGTACTATCTAATACTGAAAATCTTAAATTGACTAGCGTTGAAAAATGTATTTTGAATTGGTTATTTACGTTATTTTGGAATGATAACACTCAATTTTAAATATCCTTATAAATCCTTATTCGCCCACACAGGATATTTCTTAAAGCTAGTAGAGATTTATGGGTAAAAAATAGTATGTATATCTATCGTATAATGGAAATTTAATATTATATTGTATAGCTTTTTATTACAATAAAAAATAAATGGATAAAAAAAAAAACATCCGCAAACACGATAATATGTAAACTCGTCCGACTTCGAATTTAATTTATCGTAAAGTTTATAATATTTGAAAAGCCTTTTTAGATTCTGACCGTACGAGGAATTCGTATTTAGAGTTATGATTTGATTTTTTTTTTTTTGGTAAGTGCCTACTTGCAAATAAATTTTCCACCAAAAATTTAGTACTTCGATCATTAAGTATAACATATTTTCTAAGAGCAAATTTTGTCTAGTTGGTGTATTTTGGTACAAGTAATTTTTTGATTTTCCTTGTAGTTTTCTTAATAATCAGGAATAAATAAGAAAAAATCGTAAAGGAAAATCGATAAAGTTTACAGCGTTAAGGGTTTTATTATTTTCGATTTTGTTTTTTTGTTTTTTTTTTTTTTTTGTAATTCGGTTAAAAATAAATAAACGTAAACACCCGAAATGATCACAGAATAATAATATTAATCCGTCTAGACGTGGACATTTCTTTAAAAAAACTGTGGCTTTTTTCAAGTGATTTATTCGTCCCTTTTTAGTTTTTATTTGATTTTACGTGGATAAAATTGTTTCGGCTGAGCAGAAATGTGTGAACATTTACCACGAATTTTATCATAAGTTGTAACTAGTGATAAAAAAATAACGTAAGAAAATATTGAGCGTATTGTGTTATTTTTATCGTTACATATAAATTAAATAATCGTATTTATTCTCCATTTCGAGTTTCCTACATACAATATAACAGTGACACATCCCGTCAACAGTATCGGCTTTTTTTTTATATTTATAAACGACTTTTTTCCAGAAACTTAGTTCTCCGATCATAAAGTATAACCTTATATTTTCCGATAGAAAATTTCGTCAAGTTGATGTATCGGATGGTTATTTTTTAATATTTACCTGTAAAACCCGATAATATACGATTGTTTTTACTAAAAATTACCTTGTATTTCAATGTTTTCCGTGCGCCTAACGGTTTTTTTTTCTTTTGTCAAAAAGACGCAGTCTTTTTAATATTTTTTTGTTTTTAACAACATACACGTGCGCCTAACAGGCAGAAAAAACAAACCAAAAAAACAGTCCGTCGATACTTTCCCGCGGACCCTTCGGCCGACATAATGTTATTAAACCTAAATGATGCTGACGCAGAACGACTGTAAAAAGCGAACGCGCAACAGTTTACCAAGCTCTACAAGTATTTTCGGATAAATCATATTTTATACTGCAGTATACCTACGAACGCGTATATACCGAAATAACACATAGCGCGTTTTAAATTTTTAATTTTTTTTCGTTTGTTTTCTATTTCAAGAAGAAAAACGTTTCGGAATGATAAAACGAAAATGTCGGTTAGACAGAAACATCGCGGGCAAAAACGCGATACAATGTTCGGTTAATTTACGTGGGTACGTATATAGCAATAAGACGGAAGGTTTTTTTTTTCGCCCCGCGTTAAATTTTTTACGGAAATTAAGCGCGATAATGATATTATTTTGTCGGTGCAACCTTTTCGGTAACATAAAACAGTTTAGTACGTATCGATTTGATCGGTCAATAATTAATATCGAATTCGAGTGTATAAATCGTTCGGGTGTGTCTAACCCACACTTCCGCATCGCGACGAGGATTGGAATTACATTAATATCCGTGTACATAATGCTATTCTGCACGATTTTATATTTATACACACCACGAACGTAACGAATTAATGTTTTCGATCTCGATATAGATAACGATATAATTGTATAATCTTTGGTCCCGCGTAAGAATCGATCAGTCGATTTTCGATATTTTTTAACAATTCGCGTAATTTTTCGATCCGAAAGCAGCGCGTATAATGTACGTACACTTTGAAACGGTGAAACTTACTCCCGTGTTGAAAACTTTGCGAAATTGCGGACCAAAGACATTAACCAAAGTATTAACCGAAAATACCCTATACGTGTACGATATAAAAAAAAAAGTCATCGTATTCGTTCGTGAAAAATAAAAATAATAATAAAAATATTATTTTATATTATAAAAAATGACATCCGAAAATAAATCGTATTTTTCACTCTGAAAAGTTAATGACAAAAGTTAAAGGTGAAAATAAAAATATTATATTACCTGCAGGTCGTCGTCGGGTACGGTATACGGCGTGCGGATCGAGACGAATTCGATCGGCGGTTTTTTTTATGACGTGTCGAGAACAATATTCGACGACTGTTCTGCAAAAATCTCTGTAACATACGGGAAAAAAAAATACGACGATTCATTATTATTGTTCTTGATAAAAAAAAAAAATCAATTTTTCCGACGTTTTATCCGTACCTACATGAGTTGTCCCGAAATTATTAACGGACATTTCCCTCGGCTCGTGAGAAAAATGTCTCGTTTTCGACTACCTATTTGCGAACACTAACCGTAGAAATAGAAACGGTTAAAAGGTTATAAACGAGTGAATACGAATATTTCGACTGTATGGCCATTGAATAAAAAAAAATAAAAATATTTAGGGGATGATTTCGATGATTTTTTTTTTTTTTTTTTTTTTTTACACCGCTAATAATATAAAATTACTTACAACGGTATTTTATTTTGATAAAATTATGGGCAATAATAATGGGTGATGGCGATTTCGGGACTTTTCGCATGTACGGGGACGGGGACGGATCGGAACGGAATTTCTTCGCGCGGTTTTTTTTTTTTTCGTTTACGTTTCGGTAAAAGAAATAAAAGTTGGGAAAAAAAAACGGAAAATTTTTTTTTTTCGCGTTGCTCGCGAACAGAGGAGACGGGTCGACGGAAATAGTATAATATCAAAGACGGCGAAAAAAAATTACGATCGTATATAGAGAAGGGTGGAGAGACATAATAGAAAAAAAAAAAAAAAAAAAAATTAGACAATTTTCAAATATCATTATTATATTACCCGGTGGAGTCGACGGCGTTCCCGTGGTCGGCGAGCCGTGGAGCAGGGTAGGTGCGTGTCGTCGCGCCGCGAGGACGCGAATGAACGGTCCGAACGTCGGCGACGGCGACAACAGAGGAAAAGCTCGGCCGCCGGACCGACGACCGCGACGACGACGGCGGCGGCGGCGGCGGCGGCGGCGTCGTCGGCGGTAGAGCCCTGCGTATGGTCACCGCGCGCGCGGATTGCGTGACGACGCGCGGCCCTCCCTTCCCCCCCCCCGACGCCGGCGCACGCCGGTCCACGTGACCCCGTGCGCCCCGCGACCCCTTTGACGGCGGGCGGCGACTCCTTCGCACGGCCGCCCTTACGCGCGCGCGACGATACGTATTCACGTGTATATATGTATTATATTATATTGTACGCCGCCGCCGCCGCCGCCGCCGGATGGAAAACCGACATAATAATTAACCCTCGTACACCGCCGCCGCGTGTTTAAATGTAATCATTTGCCGGCCGCCGTCGCCGCCGCTCTTCCGCCCGACTCCCGTACGTCGTCGTCCGCGGCGTGTCGCCTCTTCCTATTCCAACAAGCGCGCGCGCGCGCACACGCACAAACACGCGCGCACACACGTCTACGCCCGTCCTTTCGTCAAACTCCTCCGCCGTAACTCGCGCCGAGACGCGCGGCACCCCCCCCCCTACACACACACACACCCAACGCCTATCCGCCCCGCTCGTCATCGAGATTATAACACGCGCATACACACGCATGATAACACGCCGCGGGCATTTGCGCGTGTAGATCGTGTAGAGATCACGGTCATGGGAGATAAGGTCGCCGCGGGACACTGGCCGTCCGTCCCGTCCGTATTAATCCGGCGGTCGCTTATTACAATATCGCAGGAGGCGTTATTTTTTCGGTTCGGCTAATGACCGTTTCTTTTTCCGGCAACGCCGAACCCCTACATCATTTTTTTTTTTTTTACCGAAAACCACTTTTCCAGGTCGCGTTGTCGGCGTTTTTACGGTATTTTTTTGGATTTTCAAAGGGGCTTCCAAAATAATTGGGAATTACCGAATCGCCCCGCAAATTTAAAAACTGACAAATTTAGAAATCTTGCTCCGAATGCATGTCGAGAGTAGCGTCTTGTCTGAAATTAAACGCAATGGTTTAATTGGTGCGTGAAAAATTCGGTTTTTGATTATCCGTGTAGCTTTCCTAATAATTGAGAAAAACGGGAAAGTTTACGGAAATCGCAGTTTCGTTCTGTTCAATTTTGTTGCAATACTGCTAAAAATAGATATTCTAAGAAAACTTAATTTTTCACGAAAATGTGATAGCGCGCGATAACGCGATGACGACCATGGACAGTACGGATATTGTGGTTGCACACGACGACCTACGTTGGATCGCGGCGTTGAATATAGTTCTTATCAAATTTGACGAAAATTCGCGAGCTGCACAAGTGCCTTCTCCTTTTTCTTCTTCTCCTCGTTCGCCTTTATCCCGACTATTCGGTGTCGACCATGCTCATTCTAAACTCCCACCTGACCCACCTCTCACAACTCGCTACTCCTACGTTTATTTTCATTACGATCCTTACGGCTGACCTAACCGAGGTGCAACGCATCCACCCAGAGATGGTCCGTTACTAATTGTCTACTACTACTACTACTACTACTACTACTACTACTACTTCTAGCGCTCCCTACACAGAGTCATTGTTATTGATAATGCGTCGTGACCAGTCGACACGCACGATAGATAATAATTGATTACTGATAATTATTGTCCGGTAAAATTAGATTTCCCCGCACCCGTTCCCCGTTCGAGTAGCGTTTGGCGATCGGCGCAAAATCCCGATTAATTAATATATCGATAAGACCGCCGTCTGTCGGGAATATTATTTCGCGTCGCCGAAAACCCGACCGCGGAGCGATCCGAAATCTTTCCACGATCGATGACCGCGGCGATACCTATGTTTTCATAATACACACGGTTTTCAACCGAGTCCGATAACACGCCCCCCGGGAGCAGGATCGGCGGCCGTCGATTTCGGGCGAAGTAATCGGATACCGTTTTCGGTGTGCCGACGAATACGATACGCGAAACGGCATACGATTCGATCGGACGGAAACGGGGAAAACCCGTCGAACGCGTCACCCGCGACCCGCGCCCCGTCGCCCGGGATATTATTGTTTTCCGGGAACGCGGCCGATCGGTCCGTTTCCGTTTCTCGTAACCGATACACTGGCGAACGGCGCGGGTTCGGGATCGTGATACGTAACGTTTTTAAAAATAATCAACAGCCCCGTTTACGCGGTCCCGGACGGTGCGTCCGTCCGATCCGTACACCGGGTTCGCGGCCGATAATCGGACGCGATCGGTCGGCGGCCACCGGCCGGGTGTGTGTGTGTATCCCGCGCCGCTACCCCGGAGCCGTCGGCCGAAGTCCACAGACGCCCGTACCGTCGAAAACCTACCCGCCGAGAATTACATTTATCCGAGTCCGGTTACCCGACCGGAACAAAACGCTTGAACACACCGCCGAAGACCGAGGGTCGGATGCATTGAAATATTTCGGCGAACCCGTTTATCATCCATTAACCCGTCAAAATTATTCGGAACATTTTGCGCGTTGCCGCTACGCCCGAGAGAATGTTTTCGCGTTTGGAAAAACGTCAAACGGCTCGCCCGAGAAACACCGCGAGGCCCGACTAACGGGCGACACGGCGATAAACATGGTCGCGCGGACCGAGGGAAATTCGCTCGAATCTGGCGTGATGATACCGCGTCCCGTTAACGATTAAACGGTGCCAAACGTTACGTCTTCGTGAAAACCACCAACGAATTATTATTGTTATCGTTATTACCACGGATCGCGAAAAATCATTTCACGAATGGAAAACGGACGGTGCCACGTTGCGCGATTTGTCGTTCAAACGTTGTTATCGGCGCGGGCTAAATATTATTTATCGGTTCGCAAATAATGTTGTGAATAATCCGTAACCGGTGTTTATCGATATTCGATAATCGTATCACTCCGATCCAGCGGTCCGCCACGCGGACGGCGTTTCACATTGAAATAATCGCACGCGAACACGATCTCTTATCACGCTTCGTGGATTATATTACAAAGTATCACGTTGCACCGAGAGGGCGCTGATTATTGTTTTTACAAACCGCGCAGATGAGAACCCCGGCGCAACAGGCATACAATAAGAGGTGGCTTAAATCACATTGCAACGTTCAATCTCCGAAAATAAAGCTTTCGTCAAAGCTCGAAATAATGACTGTGTCTCTGAGTTCCTTCCCGATCGTATTTTATTATTATTTTTTTTTCATACCGACTCCGTCCCGGGTGAAAAAAAAATTGTACGCAGATTCCGTCCCCGATAAAATGGCCGACCAACAAGTTACAATATTACTGCTATGCCAGTAGAATAGGAAACGATGAATCCAGACGCGCAAATAACGAGCGGCAAGTTTAAAAGTTTAAACCGTGTTGTCTACGGTATAAAATCGTTATCGTAGTCGTGAATTTTACGCTACATCAATATATAGCGCGGAAAACGCAAAAAGAGACGGAACTCGTGCGACTATAAATAAATCACACGGGACGGAATTATTAGTACGTCCGTTTTAAGACCCGGGACGAAACTATGTCGTTAAATTCAAAGTTTACCTTTGCGACGGAACTCGGGCGCCGCTGGAAAAACGACGAAACCGCGAAAATCGTATCCCGTGCCTGTCGCGGGCGACTCGAAAGCATTTGCAAACGATTGAGACAATTACCGTCGGCCGTTTGGCTATCTAAGTGCGCGCACTCGCCGACGACGACACCGCGAAGAAAACCGAAAGGAAAATAAAACCGCACTTTGAAACGAGTGAGAAAAAAAAAAAAATAACACCGGGCACTAGAAAAACATCGTGCGAACGTCACCGACCGGTTATGGCCGACGAAAATATCGCACGGGTTACGCGAGGCGCCGTTTCGGTGACCAAAGACACGGTAGCGATCCGGAGACGTCCGGGGACAATAGGAACCGCGAGATTACGTCCAGCACGTCCGCGACGACCAGTGTGACCGATTACGGGGTCGCGGCGGGTTTTTTTTTTTTTTTCTGTTCGGCCCGCCGGTACGACGGATCCGCGAGCGGGACCCGCGCCAACGGCCCACACACGCGCGGTCCGACGTGCCGTTGTTTGGCCCGCGTCGTTTCGTTTCCTCTTCCGGGAATCCGTCGGTGAACACGTCACGGCGGCGGAACGTCGGGCTGTCCACGTCACCGCCTCTCACCGCTCGCGTCACCAGTCGCCACAGTGAGTTTTCGACGGGACGCGCTCGCGAAGTGGCCGTCGCGCGTAATGCCGTAACGCCGCGGGTCATTTTTTTTTTTTATTCATTTTTCCGTCGGTTTTCTCGCAGTGTTCGCTTTGTCTTGTCGGCGAACGCGTCGTCTGCGCGCACGGTATGAACACGCGTGGCGAACACCGTAGTCGTTCGGTTCGTCGTCAAGGTCGGACAGCGCGTTGAGGCGCTGGCCCCGATGTTGAACACTAAGCGCGGGGGTGGGGGGGCCGCTCCGCTTCGGGGCAGAGTTCGGTCGCCGGACCGAACGGATGTTTTCACGGGCCTCTCGCCATCGCGTCTCGCCCGACCGCACCGCAGTGTATACACCAATTATTGTATTTTGTACCGTGCGGCCGCGATAGGCACTATTTTTTTTTTTTCTGTTTTTCCCCCGGCGCGGCGGCCGGTCGGTCTCGCCGTCTTAACGGAAAGCCCCGGCGACCGGCGACGCGCCCTATCCGGCGCCGTCCGTCCGCGGGCCCGTGACCGCTCGGCCGTCGCCTGGTGCCACGCGCGCCGTAGCCGCGCGCACTACCGCGCCGTCGGTTCGCCGGCGGTAACGAACGTGCGGCGCGCCGGTCACCGGGCTGTTCGACGGCGACGCGAAATTCAACGTGCGGCGATAGCGTAACCGAAATATTATTAATTGATCGGGATTTCACGTCGGTGGTGGTCGCCGCGCCCTGACCGGGTAGTTACATTAGTACACACACACACACACACACACACACCCCCCGCGCTCCCCACCGCCGGTAAAATTTACGCGCGGCGCGTTACTGTCGACTGTGCCGCGCACGCGTCGCGACAGTGAATTTCCATCGTCATAATTTCCCAACGAAAACGTATTCAACGGGCGTATTAGCTGTCGATTAGAATTATTGCGGTTCGGACGACGATAACGGTCCAAATCCCGAACCGCGTAATAATAATAATAATAATAATAGCACGTTATCCGTGTGGGTATGGCGGCGGCGTTGTAGTAATTATCGTTTATTTATGTTTCGGTAC